CTACATAAATGGAAAAACATACCATGCTCATGGATAGGTAGACTCAACATTGTGAAAATGACAATTCTACCCAAAGCAATCTACAAATACAATGTAATTCCAATCCAAATACCAACAACATTCTTCAAAGAGATGGAAAAACTAATCATTAACTTTATATGGAAAGGGAAGAGGCCCCGGATAAGTGAAGTACCACTGAAGAAGAAGAATAAAGTAGGAAGACTTGCACTACCTGACCTCAGAATCTACTATACAGCTATGGTAGTCAAAACAGCCTAGCACTGATATAATGACAGATACATTGACCAATGGAACAGAACTGAGAACCCAAATGTAAATCCATCCACCTATAGTCACTTGATTTTCGACAAGGGCCCAAAGTACATCAAATGGGGAAAAATCAGTCTTTTTAACAAATGGTACTGGCAAAACTAGAGATCCATCTGCAAAAAATGAAACAGGACCCATACCTCACACCACACACAAAAACTAATTCAAAATGGATCAAAGACCTAAATATAAAACCAAAAACAATAAAGATCATAGAAGAAAAAATAGGATCGACGCTAGAGGCCCTAATACACGGCATAAATAGGATACAAATCATAACTAACAACACACAAACCCCAGAAGATAAGCTAGATAACTGTGATCTTCTAAAAATTAAACAGTTATGCTCATCAAAAGACTTCACCAAAAGAGTAAAAAGAGAACCTACAGACTGGGAAAAAATTTTTGGCTACAACAAATCAGACAAAGGTCTAATCTCTAAAATCTACAGGAAAATCCAACACCTCTACAACAAAAAGACAAATAATCCAATCAAAAAATGGGAAAGGAAATGAACAGACACTTCTCCAAAGAAGACATTCAAGAAGCTAACAGACACATGAGGAAATGTTTGCGATCACTAGCTATTAGACAAATGCAAACCAAAACCACAATGAGATACCATTTCACCCCAGCATTACTGGCACGAATCAAAAAACAGAAAATAACAAATGCTGGAGAGGCTGTGGGGAGATCGGAACTCTTATGCACTGCTGGTGGGAATGCAAAATGATACAACCATTGTGGAAAGCAATGTGGTGCTTCCTCAGAAAGCAAGAAATAGAAATACCACAGGATCTTCTATCCCACTCCTAGGAATATATCCTAGAGAAATAAAAGTCACCACACGAGTAGACATAAGCACACCCATGTTCACTGCAGCATTGTTCAGAATAGCAAAAAGATGGAAATAACCTAGATGCTCATCAACAGATGAATGGAAAAACAAACTATGGCACATATAAACAACAGAGTACTACGCAACGATAAAGAACAATGACAAATCTGCGAAGCATCTCACAACATGGATGAATCTGGAGGGCACTATGCTGAGTGAAATAAGTCAATCACGAAAGGTAAAATATTGTATGAAACCACTACTATAAAAACTCATGAAAAGGTTTACACACAAAAAGAAACAATCTTTGATGGTTATGAGGGAGGGGAAGGGTGGGGATGGAAAAACACTAAATAGGCAATAGATAAGCAGTAACTTTGGTGAAGGGTAAGACAGTACACAATACTGGGGAAGCCAGCACAACTTGTGCAAGCCAAAGTCATGTAAGCTCCATAGATACATTCAAACTCCCTGAGGGACCGAATTACTGGGCTGAGGGCTGTGGGTACCATGGTTTTGGGAAACATCCAGCTCAACTGGCATAATATAGTTTATAAAGAAAATGTTCTGCATTCTACTTTGGTGAGTGGCATCTG